TTTGGAATCAAAAACAAAGTAAGAAATAGCAGGTTAAAAAAATAATTTTATTAGTTACTCCACTTGCATATAAAATTAAGTATTACCTATAAATATTAAACTCTTGTCTGAACAACTGTTTTTTCAGCTAATGGCATTAAATGATAAGACAGCCACCAAGACAAGACAGGTTGCACCCCAGCCAAAAACAGTAGAAAATACACCCTCCTTTTGTGTCCCAAAGTATTTTGCTGTCCTCCATAATAGCTGGATTCTTGAGCAGGCTCTGCCAACACTTGAACCTTGAGACTCCTTATCAAGAAAAATGCCAGAGCAAAACTAGTATACAAGAGAGTACAATAATATCCTGTACTGCCAGCTATGATGCTGATGCTGGCACTCAGTATTATCCCAACAAATTTGTAGCCAGAGTAGGCTAGCAAATCTAATGTGCGCAAACTAGTTTCTACTTGGATGATATAGAGAGTACAGCTATAAACAGCTAGTTCTACAATACACCAAGCCAGAGCTGATGATGCCAAGATTCCTATTTGTTCGGGGCTGAACCTCTCCTGCATTCCTAGAACCAGGCCTGCCACTAGAACATAGGTTGTGTATGCCATTGTGGGGATGTACAAGTCAGGAGCATTGATTTCAAATCTGGGCTGAACTGGGCCATCCTGTTCATACTTCACTGACCAATCCTTATGAAAAGTATATTTAGAAAGTACCTGTATTCATAAGAACTGTATCTTACCTTGTGGGTGAATGGAAAAAAAAGCAGCAACAATTTTGAGAGAACATATTTGGTGTCGACAGCAAAATAGTACTTCAACTTTGAAACAGGGATATATCTCTCAACTTCTTTTTTCAAGATGGTCTTACCAGCACCAGCCAACTACAAAAAAATATTAGCACAATAATACTAGGTAATTTCAACTGGTGAACCTGTTGTCCATATTGTAAGGCCATGTCCTGCACAAGAGGTTGAGTTAAAACACCCAAATTTGGTGTAGCTGGAGCCATTGGATTAACTTGTGGGTATGGGGCCTGATTGTAGTTGAAAGACTGAGGTTGAGGGACATTTGGGGTGCTCGTGAAAGTTTGGGCATTACCGAAACCTGATGAAAAAAATAAATCGGTTTTCCTAATGATCAACTAATATTTATGTGGTATGAAATTACCTTGTTGAAATGAATTGTTATCCAGATTTGGGTACAAGTTCTGTGGTGGTTGCAATGGTTGGTCGTAAGGATTGTAGCCCATGGAGTTGACATCGCTTACCCTTTTGGGCTTTCTTCCAAGGGCTAGAAAATGGATTGAGGATAGTACATTAATATGGAGATTGTGATCGATTCCTCGGATTTCACTTACGTTGTCGTCCCGCACTATTCGCATTATAATTCATTTTGACTAGTTACCACAATGAATCATTGAAATTTTCAATATTCTTGATTATTTTGGTATTTTTAGCATACATTCAACTCGCATTATTTTCTTGCATCTACACGTCTGAATGAAATGTCAAATTTCCCAAAATGGCCAAAATGCGCTTCTTCTTCTGTTTTTAAGGACATTCAGCCTTTTTCTTTCTTCTTATTAGAGATAATTGTCAAGTTTATCTCATCTTCTTCTTTATTATTTTTTTCGTCCAAAGGCTCTTTTGGACCATAGGCAAAAGTTGACGTGTCTGGTCTAGTGGTCTCCTGCTCCTGTGGTCATCAACACTCCACAGTCATCAGTCATCAATGGTCATCAACATTATCAACAATAAATGATTGAAAATCAAAAATAAACAGCTTTCACAAAAACTTTTTTTTTATTCAAATAAAAACGGCTAATGTCGACATTTAAAAAATATAAAAAACTAAAACATTACAGTTACAAGATGTTAAAAAACCTAACTATTAAATCTCTAAAATTTTTGGGTTTACAAAATGAAAATCATAACACCAATCATGGTTTACTCATATTCCTCATCTTCATAAGCAGTTCAAACCTCCTATTTGTCCGCACATTCTTTATGTCAGTCCTTCTCTTGTCAACGGTACTAGTCATGACTTTGCTTTTGTTAATGAAAGCCTTAACCTGCTCTTCTCTTGTTGTGTTCTTTGCTTCTGCTCCTCCCTTGACACCCAGCTTTGTGAAACCTTTTTTCTCTGCCACAAGCTTGTTGTTTCTGAGTTTGGGTATTAAAGATTTCATCTTGGGGAGTTCCACGGATTTCGGCAGGACTTTGGGGTTTGAAGTAGATGGGGTGATAGCTTTCACCTTGGTGATCAAGTTAGAAGCCAGTTTTGGGGTGGTCTGTGTTTGGATGGTGGCCATTCTGGGGCTGTACTGCAGCAGTTTCTTGTTTTTGTTTGGAGATTTTCGTTTGCAGCTAGTCTGGAGTGCAGGCTTCTGGCCGGACAACAGTAGCTTTGCTCTAGATGCCTTACGTTCGCTCATTTCCTGCAGATTCTCCATCTTGTCATAAGCTCTCTTGTGGATTTCAGCAAAGTTTGGCATTTTTTTGGGCTTCGGAACTACTCTGGTAGTGTTTTTGCTCTCATCTATTTTCACTCTGCTTTCTTTCAGCAATGCTGCTCTGAGTAAATGCTTTTTGTCTGCAGGTAGAGGGGTACTGGTACCTGAAGGTGGTGTTTTCGCTACTTTGGGCCTTGAAGTTTCAGATTTTTCAGCCAACATTGCCTTGTTTCCTTTTGGAGTCTCTTTTTCTTGTATTGAAGCATCTTTCATCTCCCTGGTCCATGGTGATATGATGTTCTGCAGGTGTCCTGAGTTGTCTAGAATAGCTACTCCCAAAGATTTGTTCCAAGTTCTTCGTTTTCTTTTCAAACTGCTATCAGTTTTTTTGCTAGCAACTTTGGCTTTTGTGAATGTTTGATCTGGATCTACAGGTGAAGTTGCATCTTTGGTTTCATCCATGCCCTCACACATTCTTTCATATCTAGTAAAAGTGGATTCCCTAGTCAGTTTTTTTGCAGCAGATTCTATAATAACCACAGAATCTTCGTTTTTATCTTTCTCAGGTGATGCTGTTGGTGTTACCAAGTTGACTATAGAAATTTTCTGCTGATAACTCTTTGGTTTTATGGATGCAGTAGTGATGTTCTTATCAATTTCAACTTTTTCAGGTCCAAATATTGGGGAAGGCATTTCAAATGTACTTCTTCTCCCACTTACAGCCTTAATGGCACTAGGATTCTCATTTTGATTCTGTTTGTATTTGAAAGTATTCTGTTTATTGCCATTCATTTTCTCAACTGATTTTTCAGCAGGAAGAACATTTTTTCCACTTGAGGGAGTTTTGTTCAGGGTCTGATTATAGTCAATAAAATCTGATCTATCATTATTAGACTTCTGGGTAGAGTTTTCATTGATAAAGAGTGAATTTTTGACATCAGATACATTATTTGGTGTTTCTGCAATGGTCTCTGTCATAGGGATATCTGTTACTGGTTCATTTTCTGAGAAACTTGGTGAAGACCAGTCTAAAATTCCTTTGTGAGCATCTGTTTTATCTGGAGATAAATCATCTACATCAACATTTAAATGCAACCTGCTGGCAATTTTATTGACATGAGGTGATTTTCTATAACTCTTGAAGGAATTTTCACTTCTAATAGACTCTTCAATGGAGCCAATGGATTTTAGAGTTGAAATATCAATTGTATTATTTTGAATGTCAAAAGTGCTTCTTTTATTGCTTACACTATTTTTAGAGGGAGAAATGAATCTGACAGATTTTCTGCATTGTTCAATAGATGCTTTGTTGTGATTGAGTTCCTGATCATCTTCCAAGTCATCTTCTACAGTGGCTATATGTTCTACTAGAATATTGCCAGAGGGTATTTCACAGTTTGCAATATCCATACTACTTTTTCTTGGAAGACTTGATTTTTTTCTCAAAATAGATTGTCTCACAATCTTTATTTCATTAGAACTTAGTTTACACTTTGGTTTCTCCATGTCATGCTCAATTTCTTCATTATTTTCTGGATTTAGTTCACTTGTCAGTTTGGTTTCAATAGTTTCCACTTGTTTCTTCCCTTTCTTTATTTTTCTTTTACGTTTAAACACCACTTCAGCATCTATAGTGTGTTCTGTTTCAGTTGCAGGATCACTTTGCTCACTTGTACTACTATGGCACTTTTTCTTTCTTTTGGATTTTCCAGTCAGTGTTTCTGGGATTTCAATCTGTGGTAAATCTGTCTCAACTTTATGTTTTCTGGTCCTCTTGGATTTTTTCAGTTTTATCCCATCACTAGGTGAATTACCATTGAGCATTACATTTTCCTTGTTTGTGGGGGCATCCATGTACAACTGTATTTTTGGTAAAAACTGTATGTTTGCCTGTTTTCTCGTTTTCATACTCTTTATGGAATCGCCATTTGAGGGTACTGAGAATATACTTTTCCTGTCCAAATCATTGAACTCTTGGGTACATCTTACTTTTCTAGGTCTCCTTTTGATTCGTTTGACTGATTCATGATTTATAGAAGACGTACTAGAATATTCGTTACTCATATCTTCGGAAATAACTAAAAAAATAGTCCATATGTAAATAAATCGGCATTATTCGATTTTTGAACTTACTTTTCCTGAACTAATTTAAAATTATCCAACAAACAAAAAACAATGAAAAACGGATAACCTATTCAGCAGGAAACTCCCTGACCTGACAAATGAATGACATATGTCAATATTTAACAGTTGACAAAGAATATGATTGGTAGAAGAGGAATATTGAAAAGAGAGAACGAAACCGTTACAAGTAGTGAAACAAAGACACATATTCAAACATTTGAATTTAATTGGCTATATTGTTTCCAGGACCGTACTTTGATTCACAGCTTCAGTAATAATGAATTTGAATTTTGAGAAGTATTAAAATGGGTGGGGGATGGATATTCAATAATAAATGAAATAATAATGTTCTCAATTTTTTTAATAACATTCAATCATCGATATAAAAATACCATAGACACAAAAATACCTATTATTTAGGACTTCAGGATTTTACATTTTTTTATTTTCATTTGTACTTACTAACTATATTTGTTTATAATTATTACTCAAATATGACCACCTTCTTTTAATTTTCCTACAAGAGCATCTACATCAGGCAGAATAGCACCAGCTTGTCTAGTTGGTGGATCTTCAACACTGATTACTTGAATCCTAGGAGAAACATCCACACCCAAGTCTTTTGGAGATAGTTTTTGTATTGGCTTCTTTTTTGCTTTCTAAAATCATGAAGAATAAGATATGTTTGATTTGTTGAACATATTTGTGAGCCTAAAATATCATACCATTATATTTGGAAGAGTAGCATATCTTGGTTCATTCAATCTCAAATCTGCACTTATTACAGCTGGAAGCTTACATTTTATTGTTTCTAAGCCACCATCAACTTCCCTGGTAACAGTTAATTCATTATCACCTTTCTCAATCTGAAATATAAGCTTTATTTAGATTCACCCCAAGATATACCATCAACAAATTCTCACTTTTGAAGCATAAGTAGCTTGGGGCCAATCTAGAACAGCAGCTGTCATCTGGGCAGTTTGGTTACAATCATCATCAATGGCCTAGTATATAAGAGGAATTCAATCATATGAAGTTTGAACTGAATATTATAAACTCTACTATATACTTGTTCAAAAAATACCTGTTTTCCAACTATCACCATATCAGCTTTCTCATTCTGGGCAATTTTGGCCAAGATTTTTGATATGTGTATAGGCTGCAAAGTCTCATACTCAGCTGGTGACACTTCAACATGAATTCCTTTGTCCACTCCCATTGCCAGGGCTGTTCGCAGAACTTCTTGTGCCTGAGGAGGCCCACATGAGACTGCTATTATTTCAGCTGCTACTTTTTTCTCCTTCATACGAACTGCCTCTTCCACTGCTATCTCATCAAAGGGATTCATGGAGTGCTTTACGCCATCAGTGACTACTCCCGATTTATCAGGTTTAACACGGATCTGAAAATTTGGTGATTGGTTTCACCACAGTTTAACCTTTGCACTTCTTTTATAAAATTGATATCAAGAATATTGTATTTACCTTGACTGCATAATCGATCACTCTTTTTACACCTACTAGTACACGAGCCATTATTTTTCAAGTAAAAATCAGAGGGAACTATATTGTTTAGAGAAAATGATTAGTGTTTGAACCTTGTCTTGTGGTCAATCAAAACTATCAAAAACAAAAATGATAACCTTTTCCCCTTCCAAATTTAAAAAACAACAAGAGTGAAGTGACGTGTAGTCATGACATTCGTGACACTGACATTGCGACGATGTACGATGCTGTACGGAACTTTAGCGTTATGGATCTTAGATCTAGATGGACAAAACACCAACCAAATAAATCTATGATATATGTGAGCAATGGACTCATATGGATATGGTGTATGAAGCCTAAATGGGTAGTTACCCAACAAAAAACGAAGAAATTTATCGGTCTAGTACTACTCATCTTTGTGAGCAATGGGCATATATGATCCAGATCTATGAAAGCTAACGTATAGAGATTCCTGACCCATCACAATAAGAAGAAGATCGTGATTTCTGTGCAGTAGGTTATGTTGATGTTGTGACAGCTGGAATGTTTTCAAAAATATGATAGAATTATGTGAAAATATGAAAATATAATTTGAAGAAATACTACAGTACCATCATGGCCTCTAGAAGTTTAACCGATGTATTTCTGTTGATGAGAAACAATGCAATGCGAAGCAGGCATATCTACCCTGACCAGGTATATTCATCAACCAAAACAATTTCATGAACTATTTTGTATAACAAATATTCCAGGAATCATCTGAAAGAATGCACCTAGTGTCCCTAAATGACATGGAAGATGGCACTAATCCTAGAAGTGAGAACCGCATGCCCCCAGTATGGATAGACTATTTAGAAAAAGCACAAATGATCCTGCCCAAACTCAAAGCCAAAATAAGTGATTTGAAAGGCTTACATTCCAGGCACTTACACAGATCCACATTCGATGAGTCTTCAGAAGATGAAGTAGCTATAGAAAACTGCACACATGAAATCACAAGAATGTTCAATGAATGTCACAGGCTTGTACAAATTATAAAGAGCCATGCTTCTGAAGGGGTTCCTAAAGAAAGAAAACTCACTGTGAATGTTTACCATGCCCTAGCTAGTGCATTACAAGAAATGTCCACTTACTTCAGGTCCACACAGAACAGCTATTTGAGACAAATACAGTCAAGAGAAGACAGATCAAAGATGTATTTCAACAATCAAAACCTTGAGTTTGATGAACTGTATAGTCAGGAAGCAGATGATATTGATTCTTACTTTGCAAATTCCAAACAGATGTCCCATCAACAGCTTTTGATGCTGGAAGAGGAGAATACAAAGTATGCCCAAGATCATGAACAAGAAGTGAATGCCATAGTGAAATCAATAATGGATTTGAATGATATATTCAAAGATTTGAGTCAGATGGTTGTGGATCAAGGAACTGTATTAGATAGGATAGATTATAATATTGAACAGACATCAATTCAAGTTCATGAGGGGTTCAAACAGCTCCAGAAAGCTGATGCTTATCAGAGGAAAAATAGAAAAATGTGTGCTATCATTGTGCTTGCTGCTACTATCATTCTGTTGTTTTTTATACTGATCATCATCAAGTCCTAGTCTCCTGACATGTCTGTACAATTAAGACTTTTTGTTCATTTTTATTTATTATAAGTTAAATTTTAAGCCAAATATTTATTTATGTAAACTATCATTGGTCTTTAGTTATTTCACCAACCCCTTTGATTATGTTTGGTGTCGGTATTGTTACTGACTTCATACGCCACTTTGGGAGTAGCAAGTGAATCCTTATAGGACCTTCATGGATACAGATACAGGGTGATTAAAATTCTGAATCTTGAACCACCTGTAAAATTCTAAAGTTGCTAGACCCCAAAAGTGATGAAATAAGCTCTTCAGGAAAAATTTGAAAATGCAATCATATGCTGGGTATTATCAATTTGAAAAACAGGTAATAACTTTGATACAATTAATGTTTTTGGCACCCTGAACAACATGAAAATATTTTTAAAATTTAGCACTAATTAATAAGTCTATTCATGCAAAAGAAAAAACTTTCCAAAAATCAAATGCTTTAGCCATAATACTTATTAGTGTCGAATAACGTGAATAACCCTGTATAATTCGTAAATTGAATATCAGCAGGAAAATTCACAGATATTAGAGAATCAGTACATGCATTCTTTTCCCGATAAGAAATGTTCGAAAAATAAGTTTGTTTGGGTGCGTAATTTTTTTCAGTCATACGTGATAATATACCTAACAAAAGTGATAAGTACTCCAACACTATAGCCTTCGAATCAAATGAGAAACAAACATTGCGTTTTACTTTGCGTAAAATAATTGTGTAAATAACTATAACTACCTACATTTGGCAATAAAAATAATATAATGATCATCTTTTTCAAGACTAAGGCGATCACGCAATTCCGAAAAATTATTACTATACCTATTGTTTTTTTTTTTAAATACAATTACTCATATCAAAGGAAGTTGCAATATGGATACATATCCCATATTCTATTGTTAAGAACCTGCTGAATAATTTGAAAACAAAAATTTACTTTTTAAAAATGTAAAAACCTTGACATTGATTATTTAATTAATATAGAATAGGTACTGGTTTTTGCTAAAATTTTTATGTTATAGATATTCCAGATTCGCAGTCAGTTGTCAGTCAAAGCTCACAAACCTATCAACAAATGAAATTTTACAACAAATTTCAAAATCTCTTCGGTGACATAGAAAAAAAACCTAACTTAAATATGAGCTAACAGCATATTTAATTTTATTGTACGGATGCATTTTCAGCATTCAGCAATGTGAATAATTTTCGAACTGTCATGACGAATTGTGACAATTGTATATACCTACCTAACTGCATCAACTAATAATTTAAATTTTAATGAATAACGGTTTTGCTACTTATTTTAATTGTATATTTTTGAGTTCGACTAGTCCGATGAGCTTTTTGTATATTTTATATTCCCATGATCTGTACAAGATTTTCCAGTGATGAATAAAATATTTGTATTTGTACAATGATCAATCGAAAGTTATAGTACCTAGGCATAGCTATCACTTGAAAAAAAAAAACTTTTATGTCAACAAGTGAGAAAATTCATTCAAATTGCTCAGAATTTTATTTATTCATTTTAAAACCCGAAACAGCAGAGACTCGAGTATAGCTATCTATTATTCTGTTGCCTCACGTTTATCTGAATATTTCGAAGGAAATGTTGAAAGAAATCCCAGGTTGATATTTTTGGCAGCTTTGCGATACTCAGTTTTTTATCCCTAACATTTTGCATTTAAAGATTGTATTTATATCCGAAAAGCATAACTAAACGCCGTAAAGGGGCACGAAATATAAGGGAAAAAACAGTCAAGAGGTGACGCAGATATCTGAAAATTATCAACGCAATTGGCGTGTGTAAATTCATCTCATCTTCATAACAATAATTTATTTGTATGGAGATTTTAATGTGTATTTTATGTAAGTAGGTAAGTGTGCGATTGAACCAAAGATATAAACCTACTATATATATATATATATATATATATATGGTTTAAGAGAAGGGTAGTCTATGACTGACTAGTTGAGGTAAAATACTAGTGATTTAGAAACAAACACTGTGGTTCAATTCTTCATAGGGTTGCAGTCAAAATTTTGACTGCAACCCTATGAAGAATTGAACCACAGTGTTTGTTTCTAAATCACTAGTATTTTATATATATATATATATACCTATCTATACCCACACATAATCTAAAAGGCAAGCAGATTCAATCCCAAATTGTTTCGAAAACTCATCATCTTAACCATCAATAACCATTACTTCACCATGACTAAACGTGGAAATTTGCATTTTTTTCAAATAAATAAAATTAGGTAGATACTGCAACATTCAAAAAGTGCACTTATATTTTTGTGTACTTTGTGTACCTATCTAGTGAGACACTTTAATAGTGTGATGTGCCTGTTAGGAAGTATTTCTTCCAAATGCAAAACCCTGATATTTAAGTTTTTTTATGTTCTGGTTCCCACGAAAAGGGATATCCTGTAATTTTCAGAGAACATCGTGAGAACCAAGGGAAATAAGGTAGGAATTGGTGTTCTTCTTAAATTTCTGGAGGTTATATGCCTCGGGGAACACCTCCCTTGGCAATGTGTTCCAGAGCCTCGCTGTTCGTTGGATGAACGAGTCTTTGGAAAGAGATGTTCTGCAGGTCTCCAAAGTGACCACGAAGGGGTGCGAAGCCTCAACTCGACGGGTTAATCTCGCGGGGACTTCCAAGGGAGGAACAATTGTTGATATTTCAGAAGAGCATCGTCCATGAAAAAATCTATAAAATAGAGCCAGATCGCTAATAACTTTTCTACGGTGTTCCAGAGAAATGAGACAACATATTCTTGGAAAGCTACACTACACGTGTTTCGCTAACTATGTTAGCATCTTCGGGAGAAGATTAAAACAGTTTTAATAGTTATAGTTAGCGAAACACGTGTTTCCTCTTTGGTATTATCGTGCCAAAGGTTCCAGAGTCTTCGATATATCTTGGAAAGCTGTTATAATATAAGTATCACGGTACCCTCTACTTTGAGTGTCTTATACATCAGAATTTCGGAAATCCTTGTAGATGTGAACAGATAAGTAAAATGACCACTCAGAGCGCCACACTTGAATCCAATGGATTTTATGTGGTTCGCATTGTTCACGTTGAAAAAAATCTTGTTACAATTAATCGAATTTTCTGAGAAATATTTCGATTCTTTATTCCGATTCTATTTCTGTATCTTTATTTTTATTCAAAGCCTAATATTATATGTATGTTATTTGTGCGTTATTGATCTGTGGATCAAATCCATTTTTTTCAACACCTTTTATATCGAAAAGGAAGCTCCAAATCATACAAGGTAACATGAACTTTTCTTATCATTTTTACGATTTCTATATCGCCTTTTAAATTTTCCCGGTTACAATCTGAAACACCCTGGTATATTAGTCGTAGTACGTATTACTGTATTACTTTATTATTGACCAGCAGTGAAGAAGACCAATTTCTTAGGTTGAAAAAATAATTTCGATAAAATATCAACATTATATAGGAAATCATTAAAAGTGCTGTATCGTATTCCATATGATACGACACCAACAACTGAACTGTATGCCTTAACAAAAACATATTCTTTAAAGGAACTGTACAGATTAGAGACTCTGGAAATTTCATATAAAAATTGAAATCTAATATTATTTTGGCAAGAAATTTTGAAATTCATAGTCATCAAACTAGACAATATAACTTATTTCACCTTGATGCTGCTAGTTCTACACTGGGACAAAAAAGATTCACTCATGCAGCCTTATCTGAGTTCAATAAACTACCAGATGAAATTAATAATTGCAGAAATATAGGTATATTTAAAAAGAAAATGTAAAAACTGATTATTTCTGAGAGAAATGTTTGAAATTTATCAGTAAGTTATGTCCTTGACTAGAATGCTTTTCTTTGTTCATTGATTGTTTTGTTTTATTGTGATATCCTGATTTATTATGATTTATTATTCATGTTCACTTCTACTCATGTTTGTGTAGTAGTTCATAGATATTTATTACTTATTATTTTATAATTATGTTCTTCCTTATACCAGAACTTGTTCTGACTGGAAGATATGTTTGATGAATAAATAATAATAATACCTAGATAATGGGTGTGTTATCGAGTTAGTATACCTAATGGAAAAACTGATTCAAACTCGATTATTGACCAATAATTATTGTAAATCTGCCGCGGATTACAGAGTCTGCTAAATTTCATATACACTAATATCGTTACACCTACCTCGTGCTCTTGTGGACTGGGTATTGTGCAAATACAAGCTCCCACCATACCTAGACGGTCAAAAAGTTTATAAATTTCATCCATGCTTATTTGACTGATTAGTCCTGATAAGTCGTTATATAATATTGAATCTGTGTCGTGATTTTTTCTTGAAGGTTTGAATGCTTACTTTTGTTTCATTATTAAGTAAAACACATTTGTATACGATAAACAATAATACAGAAAATTTCACACCCAACATTTTCGACCAATTGAAACAGCCTGTATTTTGTATCGTTATACCATAGCAACTGAACAAATTTCTGGAAATTTTTTCCTCCTCCTTGGGGAAAGCAGCATGAAATTACGTCGAATTCGTTCTATAAGTTGAAAAGTTCTTTGCATGGAAATATATTTCTACCAACTTTAGCTGAATGAATTAATGAAAAACAGAAATTGAGCTACTATCGAGTTATTTTATATCATTTCATCTAACTAAAGTCGTTCATTCATATTTTATTTAACCTAATTATATATTACGTTCATTGATACTAAATAGTACTTTAAGTTTCTTGTAAGAAAATATATTTCTACCAACTTTAGTACAATCAATTTGTGAAAAACTTAATTTTTATTATTTTGTGTAACTAATGTAAGTTAATAAATAACGTTTTATTCATCCTAACAATGTTATGGATATGGATTATATTAATACTACCTACTGCCGAGTTCTTGTAACAAGATATATTTCAACCAACTTCAATGGAATGAAGATGTAGTAGGCCCTGAATGAAGTCAGTCAAGAATAAAAATAGTTCGAACTACTAGCTGCCCCATTAATATGTTGCTTAACTAAAGTCGGTATTTTGTATTTTATTTAGCGTAATCTTATCCTGGTATTTTTTTAAAATTCCGGTGTGAAATTTTCTTACCGAATACCACTCTAGTCAATTAAAAACCGGAAATTCTTTCTCGAACACGAATAAGTATTTAGAAAATTTTCCAGTAATAATTGAAGCTCTCATGATATTATAAGCGATAATTGATTTTTTTTCAAAAAATTGACGATGCCGGGTCCGATATTATTACCCTCATATAACTTTCCATTTTCTCCTACAGAAAACAAATAGAAACAGTGCTTACAGTGTTTTCTATCTCGAATCAAAAGATACGTTTTCAGTGACTTAGAGCAGAACATACAGGGAGCAGCAAAAAGTACTCAAATGAATTTTTGAAAGAAATCTTTTTGTCGTCAACCTCGAGATATGTCGAACAACTTTTTACCAAAACTCGTCAATCGAACACAAAGCTTTTGAATTCTTTGCCTAGAGTAGTATTCCCAAGCCCCAGAAGCTTCAAAAGTTGAAAAAAAACAATTCCTATACGTTCTCTTCCAATCCTCTCTAGGTACGAACGATGTTCCACAGACATAATAGGGATTCCTATTCGTGCCCTCCAAATGATAACAAAAACTATAATCATTTTATTTTCTGCTAATTAAGTGATAATTAAGGAGATTCAAATCTCTGATTAGATATTTTTGCGAAAGGATATTCCTTGTTTGCATAGTGTGCCGTTCAATATTCACGTTCATTTAGATCAATTATCAATTTATTAACAATGGCTAAACACGGGAAGGTTAATAAATTTCAACATAGCACCTACCTTGAACTGAATTCTGAAGCGTGATTCTCAACATCAGGAAATCGTTCATCTGCAAAAAAGGAAGTTTGTGTGTTGTTTATTTTCGTTTATAAGATTATAATTGATAATATAATATTATGCTCTTATATTCGAATTAACTAATATGAAATGAAGACTTTAGGTACAATCAAATACTTAGCTAGGCAGTATTATTGTAGTGAGTATGAATAAGTCGGTATAGTGCACTTTTTTTTATGTATGATAAATTGATATTCATCATACAGGACGTGGAGAGAAATTCTGAATTGGAAAAATCTAATCACGAATCTGCGATTGAGCTCTTAAAAATAACAAGTTTGCATCGTTCAAGTTTGAACCCATTGATTGGGTGAAAGTATTGAAAAGGGATATTCTCAGATATATTTATGAACACAAAAAAATGGATATATATATACAGTGTGACCCACTTCTAATGGAAACAGCCCTGTATCTTACGCAATCGTTGGGTAAAGATCCTGAAATCTGCTGAAGCGAGAGATATACCAAAAATGCACTCTATGACCAAGTGGGACCATCTTCAGTGATATACACTGCTGGCCAACAGCCATGGAAACACCCCGATTTCCGGAAAATTATATTAGGAGTCAAAATAGGTTGAAAATCACTTCGGATTCGGAATCAGGACGCCCAATTCTCTAACTATTCATAGTATTCCTAGAAAACTTTCATTTCAGAAAAATTTAATTTTGTCTCACTTATCATGGAAGCACGCACCCCCCGTATCTAACGTAATTATTGAGGTAGGGTTCTGAAATTTGCAAGAGGAAGAGAAAGTCCAAAGATGAACTCAATTACGTAAGATACGGGGGTACTTCCGCAAAAAGTGCGACAAAATTAAATTTTCCAGAACTGAAAATTTTACAGGAAAAATATGAATAATTAGAGAATTGGGCGTCCTGATTCCGAATCTGTAGTGATTTTCGACCTATTTTGCCTCCTAATATCATTTTCCAGAAATTGGGATAGTTCTATGACTGTTGGCGAGCAGTGTATATCACTGAAGATGACCCCACTTGGTCATAGAGTGCATTTTTGGCATATCTCTCGCTCCAGCAAATTTCAGGATGAGGGGTGCTTCCATTAGAAGTGGATTACACTGTATATAAAGAAATACATTGAGAATTCGCATTCTCTATGTGATGAAAATATTAATTCTTTCTCGGTTTATTCAACAGAAAACAACTACTTTCCTGGCAATATGCCACGACGAACATTGAATTACATCTATTGAACACACACGATAAGAATTTGAAAACAAAATAACTGTGACAAAATCTTCTGAAGTAAAGAATTTGCATTCTCCTTCATATAAAGATATGCATATAATATCATTCTGAATATTCAACAGAAAACAACCACTTTCATGGCTATTCGCCACGTCGAACATTGAATTATATCTGTTGAATATTCAAAAAGAGAGCATGAACAATCCAAATCCTCTGAAATAGAGAATTGACATTATCTCCTGAATCGAATAGAATAATATAATGTTTTATGATATTAAAATATATCTTACCAATATGTTCATGCAGTATTGAAATGAAAATTGGAATGTATAGGAGAAGTATACTTGTATGAACTCTTATCTTGATTTTTTTGGAAGTTCCAAGGAAAATTCTTTAAACGCAGTGACATTTTGGGGCAAATCATCTGATTCGTCCTTACTACACGTATATTGAAATAATATTCATTTTTTTATTTCATAGAAACGAGAAGAGAAAATCCCAAAAAATCTGGAATAATGACTGAAAATCTACCTGAGTTTCGAGATGACGTTATTTTTTCAATTCAAATTTTTTATTCAGTTCTGAAAAATGTCCAGAGAAGCTTCCAAGAGACTGCTCTCCAAAAAGGTGCTCAACTCTTTGAGAAAAAGGACCTACTCAACGAAGAGCCCATACTCAACGCTGGGTCTGATGAGAGATCTAGCTGAAGGAGGTGTATACGAATACAAAATTGAGCCAGTAGGTGTCATTCCGAAAGAATACAGCGACATACCAGGACCGAAAGAGCTGCCCTTCATAGGAAATGCGTGGAGATTCGCCCCTATAATAGGTGAGACATCGACAAACAAACTACAACAAGGTTCAATGTAAACTCTTCATTTAAAACACTCTGTATATTCACTTGTGGATGTGGCCAGCTAGATTTCCCGACCTAGTTCCAATTGACTCTTTTCTAATGTAAACTCTTCATTGAAAATAGTCTGTACATCCACTTGTGGATGTGGCCAGCTAGATCACCCGACCTAGTTGCAATTGACTCTTTTCTATCTCTTCGATCGCACGTAAGAACGAATTGGTCAATAAAAGACAAAAATACTAAACGAGATGAAAGAACATATTTTTGTGTCAAGAATAATTCGAAGTTTATTCGAAAGTTTTGTAAATCGTTGATTAGGAGTTGTTAGCTGAATCCAGGCGTTTGCTTTCGGTGAGGTCAGAAACATCGGAGGTTCAATGAGAGTTAAAAGATGCGTTATGGTTTTCAAAAAAACGAACTAATTTCTGGTTAAATTTATGCCGATTTCACTTGTGGACATCTTGAAGTCGGTATCTATGCATTTAACATCGGTTGACCACGTTTTTTCATGTTCTCATCATTGATATTTTTGTATCTAGGGAGCGAAATGCTACTTTGGTGATCGAGATCTGAAAAAAATAGTCGAGATGACAGATGACCAAAGTATTTCGCGCTCGAGTTGCAAACAACATTTTTTCTACGAATGTCGAAAAATATAGTTCTAAAGTAAAAATATACTTGGGTTGATATAGAAAATAGGGTTGAACTGGCCTTAAAGGCCTCCCCCTATCCTCCCTAGGTACGGACGATGGTCAACGAACATAATAGGAATTTCCTTTCGTGTGCTCCAAGAGATGAAACAAATTTATTGTTGAATATTCAGAAATAAATGATTTCGTGGATGTTTGCTCGATTGAGGACCAAACAGTTGAAATATTAATAACTCAAATATTTTACATAACAATGCGATCGAGAAGTATGTACTTCGCGCACTGTACCGTTTTACTTCGCGCATTGTTTTGTGCAAGGTATCATGGTAACGTAGGAATCTGAAAGAAAGTGTCACTTCGCAATTTGTTATCAATGCGCGAACCTTGCCATTTTTTGAAGTTTCTAGAAGAAAATAAAGATGATGAAAAAAATCCAATTCGAACACATCACCGAAAATATTATTTTTCTACAAACGTCAAAAAATGACAAGGTTCGCGCATTGATAACAAATTGCGAAGTGACACTTTTTTTCAGTTTCCTACGTTACCATGATACCTTGCACAAAACAATGCGCGAAGTAAAACAGTGCGCGAAGTACCTACTTCGCGCATTGTTATGTAAAATATATGAGATATTCATATTTCAACTTTATGGTCCTCAATTGAGCAGACATCCACAAAATCATTTATTTCTGAATGTTCAACAATAACTTTGTTTTTTCTCTTGGAGCGCACGAAAGGAAATTCTTATTATGTTCGTGGAACATCGTGCGTACCTAGGGAGGATAGGGGGAGACCTTTTAAGCCAGTTCAACACTATTTTTTATATCAAGCTAAGCATTATTTCACTTTAGAACTATATTTTTTGACGTTTGTAGAAAAAATTTTGTTTGCAACTCGAGCGCGAAATACTTTGGTCATCTCGACTAGTTTTTTAACTCGGCTACGCCTCGTTAAAAAAATCAGATCTCGATCACCAAAGTAGCATTTCGCGCTCTAGATACAAAAATAACTATTGTTTCAATATTTTGGGTTTTTGATGTCCCAGTACATGAATCTATTCTTTGAATTGAAAAAAAGCTGAGGTAATCAATCCGCGATATGAATCGGTGAATATTATGAGAGAATTGAAATTAGTATGAAATGAAAATATTTTTCTCCATTTCGGATTTCATGGTTTGTCAGAGTTTGTCTAAAAGCGTGCTTTCAACCGTTTCCCTATTTTGCCCTCGATACGATGAAAAATTCAAATACAAAAAAGTTATTTTCACAAACTGTTCAATAAATATTACAATAATGACTTACTGTTGACTATATGATCTAAGACTATAAATATTATAGGTCAATACAAAATTCACGAACTGGACAAAGTGATGTGGTCCTTGAAGAAGGAATACGGAAAAATCGTGAAAGTAGGAGGCTTGATAGGCCATCCGGATTTGCTGTTCGTGTTCGATGGGGACGATATCAAAAAAGTTTTCAAAAGGGAGGAAGGCATGCCTCACAGACCTTCGATGCCTTCTCTGCACTACTACAAGCAGCATTTGCAGAAGGATTTCTTTTCTGGGAATGAAGGAGTCATAGGAGTGTAAGTACAGGATTTAACTTTTCGAAATACTTTTTGCCTTCACATAAAATAGAAAAAAAAAACATTTTCGGTAGATTCAACATGCGTTCAACAAAATCTTAGTTATTATTGCTTCAACTCAATTATTTCAACAACTTCAAATTATGAAAAGAATAAAAATAAATAAACTTTATTTAGTATAAATACTCGAAGGGTTCACTATGGTGACAGTACACCTACAAGTGTTATGAAAGTTCCACACCAGTGATTTTTATACAGTTAAATTGGGTTTTTATGACAAATTACCATAACAATGTATGTATTTCAGTGGACGTTTTTTTCTCGTGGGTACCCACCAGCGTATGAAATCGGAAATTTTTTATGACGTTTCAATGAATATAATATTTTGACGTCCTAAAATAGTCTATTGTGCCACTTCAATTGGGTAGAAATCAATAATTAATAGGCTTAGAATCCATTGATGCCCTAACTGCATCTATTGTATAGAATGCCATACCACTGGAAGGCTAAAATTCGAAATCTCTGGCACTGATACGCTTCAACAGGAAGATCATATTACTAAGGCGGACCATAAATGAAACAGGGTTTGGTTCATCTATGGGTGGACGGACATATTGACCTTCATCAGAAATCCACGGAGGTTCGAAAAGGAGAATTAGGAGATGGAATAGTAGAAATTATGTGGGTCGGAAAAAAGGCTCAGTGAGGTCTACTTGCTAGGCGACCGCCTCCCCCCTTTCCCTATACTACTACTAGTATGTACTTGATACCTATGAAAAATTAATTGACAAAACTATAATTTCTCATCACATGTACTATCCCGAAGTTAATATAAAATGAAAGAATATAATATGTTACATTTTAAACTAGTATTTTCATGCAAATATAATAGGTAGAAATCAGGAATCTATTATTGGTGCCGAAACTGCGACCAAACTGAATTTATTCATGAACCTGTATGCAAATCAAATGAACAAATGAATTCTAAAATCATTTTATTTCCAAAAACAATCTGGTGTGAAATTTCTTACCGAATACCACACGAGGTCAAATTACTTGCCGGGAATTTGTTCTCGCTTATGAATATTTCGGAAATTTCCGGAAATAATTTGACCTCTAGTGGTATTACAAGTGAAAATGGCATAGTTTCCATATGAAACAAAAAACATATAACTGGTATACATATATACTAGGAGAAACATCGCACTATATAGTCTCTCCGATAAAATGAGAGATGAAATTCTTGTTTTCGGCATTCTCAATCCTACTTTTCATTCACTATTTTCCGTATCTTCAGAACCAAAAAAGTTCAATCTGAATTTCGTAAATTCTTAGGCATGGTCCGAAATGGGATGCCTTCAGGAAACAAGTTCAACAAATACTGCTACCTCCTGCTACAGCCAAAAAATATATCGAGCCTTTGGATATCATTGCCACGGATTTTCTTACAAGGTAAGTGCAAAAATTAGGCGTATTCACAAGGTGCCACAAACTAAAGTTCTAATTAAATGAGAACAAAATATAATTTGCATTTATTTGTGGGAATAAAGATGTACTATGGTTGAAACTTGTACAGAAAACAGGACAGGCTCCATTTTTGAATTCAAGTAATAGAAAACTCAACAACCAGAGTGTGAAGTTATTGATTCAATGAAAAATAAATTAAGTATCACTTTTCATTGAAACGTAGAATTATGGTTTTCTGAATATATTCACATTTGCTAGTTCCAAATGGACAATGATGGTTATCTGATTATATACGACCTTTGTTAGCATTTTCCAACTTTGGAAGGTTAATCTCTAAGGAGTGGTTTTAATTGCAATTATATTAGTGAACTCTATAAAATCATTGAAATTACCCAATATCCAACTTTATATCTAATTGTGATAGAAATTACATGCTCTAGTACACATATACAATAAGGTAAGGTCGCCAAGATATCGAATAAAACATTCTCTAATTATTGAAGTCTAGTCTACATATTATTTACCCACTGCAACTTATTGGAAAGGAAAATTCAAAACACAGGGCGTTCCAGTTTTTATCTGCCAAACCATACCTTTGAAGACATCCATTGCGATGCTTGGTATTATACTATCATCAGCAATAACCTTTCTTGGGAAAATCACGTGGGATCAATTGCTAAAAGTGCATCCCAAAAACTTGGTTTTCAGTTTCGGGCCAGGAGCTATTTCACTTCCAGTCAGCTGCTTATGATCTATAAGGCACATATCCGACCTGTCCTGGAATACTGTTTCCATATTTGGAGTGTAGTACCCAAACATACCCTGAAACTGTTGGATTCTGTCCAAAAAATGGCAATTCGTCTTCGTGGGTTATGACTCGCTCACAAACTCACTCACTTCTCTGGAACACCGTAGAAAAGTTGGCGATCTGGCTCTATTTTATAGATATTTTCATGCACGATGCTCTCCTAAAATATCAGCAATTGTTCTTCCCTTGGCAGTCCCAGCGAGATTAACCCGTCGAGTTGAGGCTTCGCACCCCTTCGTGGTCACTTTGGAGACCTGCAGAACATCTCTTTCCAAAGACTCGTTCATCCAACGAACAGCGAGGCTCTGGAACACATTGCCAAGGGGGTGGTTCCCTGAGGCATATAACCTCCAGAAATTTAAGAAGAACACCAATTCCTACCTTAGTTTCCTCGGTTCTAACGATGTTCTCTGAACATTACAGGATATCCCTTTTGGTGGGAACCAGAAAAAAAAACTGCCATGGCGATAAGAAAATTAAGCCTATATCGTCGGAACTTCTTATCATATTTTGCTACAGGGGCAACCTAATGATAGGAAGAGCATCTGATTTCGGGATTTTAGTTCGCCATATTCTCGTTCTCATCTTGATGAATTCTAAGAGATGGTTGACAGATAAAAACTAAATTATCTATAATTCAAAAATATCCATAAACACACCCTTTATAATGGGAACTTGGGAACTGACATTTTTAAAACGATTATAAAATGTGGATTCCATAAGATGGGTCACACTGTACAATAGCCCGTGGAACAACACATTACCTAATACAATACCATAGATATATCTACCAATACATTCTTATAAATAATTTTTCAGTTAGCTAGACTGGGTTATTAGATAGTGCTGAACTTGGCCAACTTTAAATCCGTTGACCGGTGACTTGGACTATTCAAATCCATCTAAAGAGTAAATAATACGTCTGCTAGTCTACTGAACGTATTATCGAGCGTATTATGAAATATTCTTCCACTATACCGGGTGTTTCTCGAAAATAACTGACAAACTGTTCAAGTGGAAAAATATTTTTTCTCCCCGAGTGTCCTACACATCTGAAAAACTCTATGAACACTAATTTGGACATGTTGAAAACGAATCAGGAATCAGATTTGATCCAAGACTTTTCGTTAAAATTTTCAAAAATAGCAATTCATGTTGATATAGGTTAGTTCAGGTGGAAATTTTTTTTTTCTCCCCGAGTGTCCTACACATCTGAAAAACTCCAAAGACACTAATTTTGACATTTTAAAAACGAATCAGGAATCAGATTTGATCCAAGACTTTTCGTTAAAATTTTCAAAAATAGCAATTCATGTTGATATAAGGTTAGTTCAAGTGGAAAAATATTTTTTCTCCCCGACTGTCCTACACATCTGAAAAACTCTATGAACACTAATTTGGACATGTTTAAAACGAATCAGGAATCAGATTTGATCCAAGACTTTTCGTTAAAATTTTCAAAAATAGCAATTCATGGTGATAGGTTAGTTCAGGTGGGAAAATATTTTTTCTCCCCGAGTGTCCCACACATCTGGAAAACTCCAAAGACACTAATTTTGACATGTTAAAAACGAATCAGGAATCAGATTTGATCCAAGACTTTTCGTTAAATTTTCAAAAATAGCAATTCATGGTGATAGGTTAGTTCAGGTGGGAAAATATTTTTTCTCCCCGATTGTCCTACACATCTGAAAAACTCCAAAGACACTAATTTTGACATTTTAAAAACGAATCAGGAATCAGATTTGATCCAAGACTTTTCGTTAAAATTTTCAAAAATAGCAATTCATGTTGATATATAGGTTAGTTCAAGTGGAAAAATATTTTTTCTCCCCGAGCGTCCTACACATCTGAAAAACTCCAAAGACACTAATTTTGACATGTTAAAAACGAATCAGGAATCAGATTTGATCCAAGACTTTTCGTTAAAATTTTCAAAAATAGCAATTCATGTTGATATAAGGTTAGTTCAAGTGGAAAAATATTTTTTCTCCCCGACTGTCCTACACATCTGAAAAACTCTATGAACACTAATTTGGACATGTTGAAAACGAATCAGGAATCAGATTTGATCCAAGACTTTTCGTTAAAATTTTCAAAAATAGAAATTCATGTTGATATAGGTTAGTTCAGGTGGGAATAGTTATTTGTTTAACTAGGCAGCAAAGTAGTAGATTGACTGCCGAGGCTGAATTCATAGCCGAGCGTAGCGAGGCTAGGAGTTCAGCTAAGGCAGTCAATCTACCTTGCTGCCGAGTTGAACATATAATTTTTTCTCCGATTGTTCATAATGATATAGGAGGATATTGTAATTGGATTACAATTCCCACAATCTCTTTATTTTTCCTGTAGTGTTCAATTAAAATGAAATTTGATAGAAATCGCAGTTGTCCATGATAATTATAGTTTGACAATTCATGGAAATTCTGACAGTTGTGCGAAAAAATGATTGGTATATTTAAATTATTATATAATGGACAGTGAAAGCGACCTGAAAGTACTTACACCTCCAGAAATAAGGGAGGTGGCAAAAAATATAGAGTTGAATTCGTTGCCGGAGAAGTCTCGAATGAAATATGAAGGAAATTATGAACAATTTATGGATTATTAATTTTGCTGATACATATCGATCAGCAAAGTAACCACTTTGCTGCCTAGGCAGCAAATTACCCACTTTGCTGCCTAGGCAGGAAAAGTGATACTTTGCTGATTGATATGTGTCAGCAAAATTAATATTTGCTGCCAATCGGAGAAAAAATATTTTTTCTCCCCGATTGTCCCACACATCTGAAAAACTCCAAAGACACTAATTTTGACATTTCAGAAACGAATCAGGAATCAGATTTGATCCAAGACTTTTCGTTAAAATTTTCAAAAATAGCAATTCATGTTGATATAAGGTTAGTTCAAGTGGAAAAATATTTTTTCTCCCCGACTGTCCTACACATCTGAAAAACTCTATGAACACTAATTTGGACATGTTGAAAACGAATCAGGAATCAGATTTGATCCAAGACTTTTCGTTAAAATTTTCAAAAATAGCAATTCATGTTGATATAGGTTAGTTCAGGTGGAAAAATATTTTTTCTCCCCGAGTGTCCTACACATCTGAAAAACTCCAAAGACACTAATTTTGACATTTCAGAAACGAATCAGGAATCAGATTTGATCCAAGACTTTTCGTTAAAATTTTCAAAAATAGCAATTCATGGTGATATAGGTTAGTTCAGGTGGAAAAATATTTTTTCTCCCCGAGTGTCCTACACATCTGAAAAACTCTATGAACACTTATTTGGACATGTTGAAAACGAATCAGGAATCAGATTTGATCCAAGACTTTTCGTTAAAATTTTCAAAAATAGCAATTCATGTTGATATAGGTTAGTTCAGGTGGAAAAATATTTTTTCTCCCCGAGTGTCCTACACATCTGAAAAACTCCAAAGACACTAATTTTGACATGTTAAAAACGAATCAGGAATCAGATTTGATCCAAGACTTTTCGTTAAAATTTTCAAAAATAGCAATTCATGTTGATATAAGGTTAGTTCAAGTGGAAAAATATTTTTTCTCCCCGAGTGTCCTACACATCTGAAAAACTCTATGAACACTAATTTGGACATGTTGAAAACTAATCAGGAATCAGATTTGATCCAAGACTTTTCGTTAAAATTTTCAAAAATAGCAATTCATGTTGATATAGGTTAGTTCAGGTGGAAATTTTTTTTTTCTCCCCGAGTGTCCTACACATCTAAAAAACTCCAAAGACACAAATTTTGACATTTTAAAAACGAATCAGGAATCAGATTTGATCCAAGACTTTTCGTTAAACTTTTCAAAAATAGCAATTCATGTTGATATAGGTTAGTTCAGGTGGAAATTTTTTTTTTTCTCCCCGAGTGTCCTACACATCTGAAAAACTCCAAAGACACTAATTTTGACATTTTAAAAACGAATCAGGAATCAGATTTGATCCAAGACTTTTCGTTAAAATTTTCAAAAATAGCAATTCATGGTCATATAGAATAGTTCAAGTGGAAAAATATTTTTTCTCCCCGAGTGTCCTACACATCTGCAAAACTCTATGAACACTAATTTGGACATGTTGAAAACTAATCAGGAATCAGATTTGATCCAAGACTTTTCGTTAAAATTTTCAAAAATAGCAATTCATGGTGA